CCAATCCTGCCGTAGTGCCAACATATCCCTCCTACACAGTCCAAACACAAGACCGGCCTACCAATGACAACTCTACATCCTCCTGGGAAAACAACAAAATTCGCACCCAGGAGTCCTGGAGAAGGCCTCATAATCCATATGGATCAGAGAAAAGGCAAAATGGTGGCCACCCAGACGCCATGTACAACATCGACTTGGACAAGCGCTACAAGGAAACGGAGGACAATCCTTGCTGCTGTTACCCCTACTGTAAATGTTGCCCCTGTTGTAGAAAGTCCTGCTGCGTTGTGTCATAAACGGACCATGTTGGTCCTCCCACCACGAGCTCCAAACAAAGCGTTTAAGAACTGATTAACGAGAGAAACTTTAATTTTGTGCTGAATACAAATTGTCAGCTCAGGATCTTCCATTTTCACATCTCTTTCAGTGACTTTGCTAGATCATTCTATCGTCTCGACTCAGAACTTTCACTTGGGATCAACTGCCAAAGAAATCCTGGTCTCTAAACCCAAAGAGGAGCTGCGACTCCCTTCCTTAACGCCTTTTCAAATGCGAAAAATATTGATTTGCATTATTTCTAAATGCCAAGGCAATCCGTCAGATTAGCTGATAAAATGAAAATATGACTGGCTACCAAACTGGACTGTAATAAGATGATATTGGTGCCTTGATCCGGGGATGAAAGGGGAGGTAAAACTGACCTTGTTACACTCCACTTTAACTCTGAGCTTGCCAGAAATGTTGCTATGTCCATTGTCTCTATGCTCTAATTGCTCCTTGAAGTAGAAAACTGGAATTGCGATGTTATACAAAATTACTATGACGGTAATTTGGAGGAGTTGGAGGAGTAATTTGTGATTTAGCTATTTTGTCCTACTACGTCCAATGTCATGCTTCTGCAATTCCTGGTTTATTTATGAAACCGTAATATTGAATGTTCTCACCCCTGTGTTGCCTAGAGAGGTGCTCACTTTGGATAAATCAAGTAGTCAGGGTATCACAAGCTCTGGTGTAAGTCTGGGTTGGCAGCTTTTATTTTGAATAATCTTAACATGTGACCCTCCAAATTACATTTCCATATAAATCTTGATTATTGATCTGTACAATCTGCATTCTTTCTAAATATCTCACACAAATCCACTTCTCGCAGTGTGATATTTCCACAATGATGTCAAATGGCTCCTTCCCTCCTCTCCGTGTGATTTAGGCTAATCCAAGTCCCTAGAAGGCTGGATTACATGGATCGCTGCTTGAGAAAAGGTGCATTAATCCCCTGTGTCCAATCAGAGCGCGCTTGGAAGGCCATATCTTAGTGATACTTTACAACAGGTGTGCGTACCAGCCAACACTCCATGTTGGACTCGAATGGCTGAACCATGGACAATGTATCTGTGTGCATCTCCTGCCATTCTGTGACGCATTAACACAATGGGGTGACTCTCTAGACGCCAGCGAACGATTCTTTATTGGATAAAATAGTATTAAGAAATGGCACGTGCAGTACAAGCCATCCTACCATGCGATGTGCCATTTATTATTATTTTGATATGTTTAATTAAACATAATGCTTTACATGTTGAATGTCTGTGGTTTTCTTCTTATTACCATGTTTATCTCAATGGTGTATCAGGTGATGTTTCTGAGTTGATGCATTCTGGGAGTTAATGTTACGCTTCGAGTGTTTCCCTTGACACCATGAAATCTGGTATTTTATATATATTTTGTTTACCTTTTATGGGAGTCTTAGGGGCACTGCTAAGAAGGAAGCCCTGTTTCACCAGCGTTACCCATTTCTTTTTACAAACAGACATTTTTCCGCTGACCATCCGCCACCGCAGTGGTGGCGATCTGGTGCCCGTGGGTGGTGGTAGTGTAAACCAGAGGTCCTCAAACTGCGGGCCGCATCCAGGCAGGGTCCAGAACCCGGCCCAAGCACTCAGGGCCACCGGATCGACCCTATATCTTCAGGGGCCCGGTCAGCGCTGTAAAAAAATAAAACTAAAAAAAATAATTAAAAAAATCGCAGCTACAAGTACTGCTGGGAGGAATGACGGCTGGTGGTCACTTCCTCCCAGCTCCCTCCGCGTGGAAGGGAAGAGAGACAGCCCGCGGGAGCCACACTGACTCCCATCAGCCACAGCGACCCTCCTGTGTTTAAAAAAATAAATAAAAATAAAATAAAATAAGGTAAGCAAAATTAGCTGTGTGTGTCTGTTTGTGTGTCTGTCTATGTATGTACGTATTTATGTCCTTATGCGTGTGTGTGCGCAGTGGGCATAGGAATACGTTAATATTTTTTATAGTCCGGCCTCCAAGAGTGTCTGAGGGAGAATTTTTAAATGTAAATAATCTGCTTGACTGCTTCCCATTCTTAGACCTGTCTGTTTAATGCTTTGTGACAAACAATCTGTTATGTGGTGAAGACAGGCTGCAAAACATTCCGAAATCACAATATCTGCACTCCTCTACATAAATATGGAGTCACTATCTATATACAGCACTAACCGGTGTACTCAGCACTGTACAGGTTACAGTAGTGACATCATCATGTGATGTCATCACACGAGCTGGGGCCACGCAGTTATTCACACTCCTGCTGATGTTCATCTTAAACTCCTATCCTCACCAGCCATGCTGCAGCAATCCCAGGAACACACACAGTCCATGGGAAGCTGCTGGGAGCCTTACCCAGTATCCTCACTCTCACTGGGTCAGGCTATGACATCACTGCCACTTAACTGTGTGTAGGGTAATGTCTGGTGTATTACTGATAATCAGACAGTGGCATTCCCAGAAGGATGGATTGTATCTTATAATGCTGCCATCACGCGATCAGATGGAAGCGGTGATAACGGTGGCAGTGTTTATAGGTAATATCATTGTTACATTTGCAGGTTTAATAGTTGTTTTACCTGTCAACAGACCCGGCATAATCCGGTTTATTTCTAAGAGTTCAGTATACACAGTACTGTCACCCAGCGTACCCCTCTCCTTCTGGCACACAGTACAGTGCGATGCGTGTTACTGTAACCAATCAGCAATAAGCCACCTCCCCTAACTGTGTCCCCAGCCAATCACACACCATCCCTTCCCGCCTAGAGAGGAGCCATGTGCTTCTCATTTTCACACCTTCAGCCAGTCATGCACAATGTCCCCCTCAGACCGGGCAGGAACACAATCATGGCTTCTCTACAGCTCGCACACATAGAACATTACATCTGAATGAATGAAATTACACCCAAAATTTTACAATTTAGCAAAAGGCCAAAATAGTAAAATCCAAGAATCAGTTGTGATGGGAGTTTTTTTCCATTCCGGTTTGTTTGTTTGCCCTGGGTGTTGACAGTACAGTTCCCTGTTCAGTGTAAAATCCCAAATATCTGTCCCTACATCCCTGGTTAGCCTCCTGAAACTTCGGCAGATATTTAGCCTCACCAGCTATTTGGGAAAAATGTTTGGAATCCGTAATACAGCTTTAATTTGTTTTTCTCTGCTTTGTTACCCCGATCTCTAAAATACGGAGCTGGTTATACCAGCAAAACGGGTGACAGGCAACTCCCATTAAAACTTTCACATATCTGAATTGCCTATAAGAAACATTTCCTCAGTATGTTACTGGCCCTTTAATAGCCTTAATAAACCAATCCGACAGTAGAATTTCTGACTCCTGGTGAGCAGAATGATTTATTCCTGGGGTCCTAAATCTTGGGGCCCGTCCTGGGGAAACACGAAGTGTTATGAAATCTCCCCAGTTCCTATAATTCTATGGATTCACTCAGATAATCGAACAATTCCTTTTTTTTTCACAATTTCTTGGCTTTGCCCAGGTTCCTGTTAACTAAAATAATAACAACAAAATATTTAATCAGGAAAGCCACATTCAGATTACTCTGGTTTTTTTAAGTACGTGCCGGGGATGTTACCCAATATCCAAAATATGTTGTTTTTTTTGTTTTTTTTATTCTGTATTCAGTGGGGATGTGGTATAACTCCTATTGATCTTGGCTTGACTGATCTATATAACACCCCAAAAAACCTATTTCTAATACCATGGGGGCATCTACAACGCTTGCCCCAACTTCGATCTAGCAGGAGCCCATTATTCTGCCAGGCCATGTGCTGGTTTGTGTAGTGTTTCTCTGATCTAATAATACTGGGGATATATAGTAACCACGCTATACTCCTTGGGCCACGACCACGGCTCCACATTAATTATCGGTGGCACTAGAGCAGCTTGTAATGTCTGAGCTTCAGTTCAGTCGTCTAGATGCAATTAGACCCCCATTTAAAATAGTAATGAATGTATTGCTCCCTCTGTCCTGTAATGTTTATTATAATACAGAGAGCATGCAATCTGCACATGTAATGTTGGTTTCATTGTGACCCATTTAGTACTCGGTAAGTGTCGGTTAATCCTAGACTTGTGCAGAAATTCTATTCAGCAGATGCAACCAAATCAAATTCATTTAAATCTATCCGTCCAGGATTTACCTGTGGAGTCATATTTATTGGATATATCCCGTGGTGAATATTGGAACCTTTACCAATGAAATCCCCTTGACGTCACAGTGAATCTGCCTGCTGGGCTTGTTTTGCAAATATGAAGAAAATCTGTGAAACCACATTATTTTACACATAATGATACAGTAACTGTGAACGAAACGGCTTACTTGAAAGCAAAAAAAAGTGTAAAATTTTGTCAAAATGTGAGGATTTTAAGTCAACATAGCAAATATTGGAAGTAATGAAGTACAAAGTCCCCAGATTTGGAAGATGAAATCAATGTATAAGTTTATATCTATGGTTATTGGTTATTGGTTAATTACCTGAATCTTTGACATGACCGTAAGGTTGCGCGGTTGTTGGTAATAGCCCATAAATCGTTTCCACCGAAACACAAACTACTTGTTTCCCTGAGTTCTAGCGAGAGTAGGTAATATATCGTTATACTAGATACTAGGCCCCATGCGGCACTCAGGGTTAAAGTTACCCAACACCGCGGCTTTATCCTGTAAATGGAGAGAATGACAATTCTCACATATTCTTCAGGTATTTTTCACAATGGAACGTCCAGTGGGGCTGTGACGGAATACAGAGTGTCTGGCAGGGCCATGTTTATTCTGCAGCCTCTCTGAATAGAGTGCAGACAATGGTAGCCATTGTTTGGCTATTCAGAGATGAATGCAAGCTTAGTATTGAAAAACAAGTTTATCCTCTGTATATAACTCTGCCTGTTCAGCTTTACAAAGGCCCCAGAACTATGTCAAGAACTTTAAGCATAACTTGTTATTACACATGAATAGCCTTCTCTGCGACAATGTGTTCATTTAATGTCACTGCGGCTTCCGGTGAAATAAATACTTTGTAAAACACCAGGTGAGGTATTCAAGAAATCAATCCGGCTGAACACGGGGTCAAAAGGAACCAGAGTTTAATGTAAAAAAGTCTCCTTTTGGAGGGGGACTGCCTGAACCCCAAAATGTTAATTTTAACGGGTACACTCATTTGCTCTGACCTGCAATACCCATAAAGAACTGAGTGCATCTCTTCACTGAGCAGGCAGAAGGTGAGACAAGGGGTGAGTGAGTACTCAAGGCACTGCAAGGTAAAAGCAGACTTGTTCCTGAGCTTAACATAGTATCTGTTTAATGACTAAATTGTGAATTATACTCCAGCCAGATTAGAGACAGTTTATTTTAAATTATCCTGTTAGTATGTATAGGATATTAGCCAGGCCATGCTCAGATTATAGACTGAACTATGAGCATTACAACCACACAAATGGCAGGATGATAAGTAACCAGTATCAGTAAAGTTAACATATTTAAAACTAGTGCAATCTCAGCATATCTGCACATTGTAATCAAGAACTAAAACTCTGTCTCCCTCCCTTTAACAAGAAAAAAAAGGAGGAAAAAGGGGAGGGTAAGCACGAAACAGTGCAATTCAGGGGAGGGACCATATAACAGAGTGCAATGCAGGGGAGGGACAATATAACAGAGTGCAATGCAGGGGAGGGACCATATAACAGAGTGCAATGCAGGGGAGGGACAATATAACAGAGTGTAATGCAGGGGAGGGACAATATGAAACAGTGCAATGCAGGGGAGGGACCATATAACAGAGTGCAATGCAGGGAAGGGACCATATAACAGAGTGCAATACAGGGGAGAGACCATATAACAGAGTGCAATGCAGGGGAGGGACAATATAACAGAGTGTAATGCAGGGGAGGGACAATATGAAACAGTGCAATGCAGGGGAGGGACCATATAACAGAGTGCAATGCAGGGAAGGGACCATATAACAGAGTGCAATACAGGGGAGAGACCATATAACAGAGTGCAATGCAGGGGAGGGACCATATAACAGAGTGCAATGCAGGGAAGGGACCATATAACAGAGTGCAATGCAGGGAAGGGACCATATAACAGAGTGCAATACAGGGGAGAGACAATATAACAGAGTGCAATGCAGGGGAGGGACAATCTAACAGCGTGTAATGCAGGGGAGGGACAATATAACAGAGTGCAATGCAGGGGAGGGACCATATGAAACAGTGCAATACAGGGGAGGGACAATATAACAGAGTGTAATGCAGGGGAGGGACAATATAACAGAGTGCAATGCAGGAGAGGGACAATATGAAACAGTGCAATGCAGGGGAGGGACCATATAACAGAGTGCAATGCGGGGGAGAGACAATATAACAGAGTGCAATGCAGGGGAGGGACAATATGAAACTGTGTAATGCAGGGGAGCTGGAAAGCTATTCCATGCATCCACTACCCTCTCAGTAAAGTAATGCTTCCGGATATTATTTTTAAACCTTTGCCCCTCTAGGTACAACTTTAAACTGTGCAATGCAGGGGAGTTACAACACAAAACAGTGCAATTCTGTGGAGAGACCATATGAAACTGTGCAAGAGAGGGGTTGTGCAAGAAAAACATTTATCTACACCTAAGGCTGTCGAAGATGCCAAATTATATTTCTGTTTAAATTGTTAGAAATTCAAAATTAATTCCAATTTTAGGCCAAAGTAGCAAAACTGAAATCACATCTGACAGAAAGATTTTAGTCAACATTCACTTTGAATTCCCAACAATTTCACACATTAGTGAATATCCCTGTGTCCATGTGTATTATTACAAAATAATCTGATATATATTTCATATTTCCTGTGTTATGTGAGGCAGGCCTGGGAGCTGGAGGTTCCATATTGTTTGTGTATTTTCTGAGCAAGCCTCGCTGATTAACAGATAATATATTGCTAATTATACATCACTCCTGTCATTGCCACATGCTTTGCATTAAATCGTGGACAATCCATGTGTGACAATAAAAAGCGAGACGTGTAACAAAGAGCTGACTCTCTGAATAGGCTCGCCCGAGGCAGCAGGAATGCTTTGTGATGTCACTTTGTTACAGTTTCCGCATACCCTAAACATTGAACTTTTACAATGTCTCGCAGCAAAATAAACTCGTCTTTCTAGTTCCACAAGCCTGTCAACACAGTCACACGCACTATTTGGCATAAAAAGAGTTACTCAGGACAGC